CGACTTAGCCACTTTTCGATTGTCCCTTTTTAGCCCTCCTTTTATAAACTTTTAACATTTTATCCCCTTGAACTAATTTATCCCGATCCTTATCAGAATCATAGCTTCTGAATTCTTTATATGACATAGCAAATCCATCAGAAGTTATTATATGAGAAATGTGTGATAAACTAACTGGGAAGTTAGAATAACTTATAAACATAGATTCCTGGGAAGTTGACATGGACAAAGTCTTCAAGGATAAGGTGTATTATATCACAGGAGGGAAAAGAAGTGAGAATTAATGGAAGTATGATTTATGAAGTGATCTTGAGGATATGCAGCTGTACATACTTTATTGCTTATATTAGTCATTATTATTACTTTCATATTGTTAGGGTTAGATAGCTAGTTAGGATGTAGTTCCTGGGATACAGGATTAAGTGATTACCTATTAAATTAGGAGATTCATTTGATTTCAGTCCTTTAAATGTAAGATGTGAAAAACAAAGGGAACAACATGAAACAGTGTTTATGAAATTGTTGGGTTCTCACTTCTCTCTATTAAATCCTCTTCTCTCTTAAAAAAGTAGGGACTCAAGGAAGGAAATCCAATACACTCTGGTTAATAGTTATTCTGACTTTATTGTTAATCCCCCTGCGACTCTATCACAGCTACTGGACAATAAAGTTACTTATTCAATTTTGAGACACTAGAAAAGTTCTGGCTACTTTCTTTATGTTCAGGGGACCCTGAGAGCAGGGGGAATATGCCTTACAATTTTGGAAGGCTTGTTCATTTGGATCTCATGTTTAACCGGTTGATAAAAATGCAAAAAGAGAATTCAATCAAGACCATGCACCACCTAGAGTTATAATAAAAATCCCATACCCTACATATACTATCACCAGTGCATGTATTGGATTAAGAACAACATGAGAACATGACATGCTTTCTATCTAGACTTGGGTCCTAAAATCTGACTGGTTTTTTTTTTGACGATATTAAGCCATGGTTCTCAGCTTTGATAAACATCTATTATGTACGTCAACTTGACAATCCATCTTCTCAAAGGACCATGGGTCACAACTATAGTCCACCTCCAGCAAGAAGTGAAACGTTGAAACTAGGTTGGTTAATATATAAAAGTAAATTTAAACTACAATTGAATCCTAGTTGTATATAAATCTGAATTCATAATTATTGTCTTCTTTATTGGATTGCTGCAGTTATGATCTGTTCCTAGACCTGGTTGATTAACCACCATCGTTTTTCAGCTTCTGACAGTAAGCTAATTACTTCTAATGTCTTCAGGCGTCAGTGCTTTCATTGCTGCAAGCAGCATGCAAGATTTCATCTCGTGGAAATGGAAGAGACAGCGACATGAATGTTTTTGTTCGGCAGAGGTAAGTTATTTGCAGTATGATGATAAATCACATCCCTATATCTCCAAATTCTATAGACTTGACAGGAAAAATAGAGATCCTGCGTTTACAAGTTTCATATATATATATATACATATATATATATATATACACACACACACACGCATATCTATCTATGCATATAGATTGTAGAGGGAGGTTTAGGGGAAAACCCCCAAAAAAAATGAAAAACTGAGTAACACCCTGGTAACCATTTATCTGTATGACATGTGCATGCAAGTAATTGAAGTTGTTTCTTGGTTTCTATACCCGTCTGCATGTTCAAATTACTTGTAGGCGTATGTGCATACTGGACAAATTACTTGTATGCACATGTGCATACCGTATAGATGAATGGTTACCACGGTGTTCCTCAGTTTTTCATTTTTTTTTGCGGTTTTCCCCTGAACCTGACCCTATATATTGGAAGGCTACACACTTGCATAAAGTCAAGGGAGGTATATTCTGCATTCATCATATATTGGATTGCATGATAGATGAAGCAAATTTGAATGCTTTGGAAAATGAAACAAATTTGTCTTATTACATTAGTGCTGGACTTGCCTTTATTTTGTGCTTTTGCACTATCAGCTTTAGCTAATTTCAACTCAAAATAGTAATCCACAAGTAGTCATATCTATGCAGCCTACTTTGGTCAAAGGTCATGGGATGAGATTTAGCTGGGAGATGATATACGTGACTTTTAGAATCACTGAAAATTTTCCAATGATTAGGAGAGTACTCCTTGAAAACCAGTTTCTCTTTTTTCCACTTGTTATGTTTTCTGTTTAGCAGGAGAAGTCTACTCTCAAAGGTTTCTGCATTCTGCTTTTGCTTTTCTAACCTTTTATTTTTTAACACTCTATTTATCACTAGCATTTCATGTTTAGCTATATAACATTCCTTTTCAGATTGCTTTTCCCTATTTAATCTAACTATTGTGTTGGTGCAGTATGTCACGACTCTGTGCTACCTTGGAAATTGTAATAAGTGAAGCATTATCAGAGAAGCAACCAGAACTTTATGAGTGGTTTTGGTCTGAGCAAGTCCCAATGGCGTTGTCTGGTTTTGTTAATCATTTTGAAGAGGATGAACGATTTGCTGCTGTCACAGGAATGTAAGTAGATGCCTAACATGTGCAGACACTATTTGGTTATACCTAATGGTATCTTGTTCCTTTCTTCAGGATCAATAGAAGAACGTCAAGCGCAATGGATCCAGGCGAGAGTTTGTTGCCTGTTTTTGCTTTGAGTTGCATTGCTGCAATAACAAAACTTGGGCCACTGAAAATTTCTTGCGCACAATTTTACACTGCCCTTCCAGACATAACTGGTAGACTGATGGACATGCTAGTTGAATTAGTTCCTATACGCAAAGCTTATCATTCCATTAAGGATATGGGTCTACGTAGAGAATTTCTAGTCCATTTTGGACCTCGAGCTGCAGCATGTAGAGTGAAAGATGATCAAGGCACCGAAGAAGTTTTATTTTGGGTGAGTCTTGTGCAGAAGCAGCTACAGCAGGCTATTGGTAGAGAAAGAATATGGTCAAGACTAATAACATCTGAAGGTATTGAGGTAATATTGAAGTTTTTTCTATTCCTGTAGTGCTTTAGAGAAGCTTCATAACATGTTACTATGGAAAAACAGTCTTCTGCTTGTTGTCATATAAGAAAGTCAATGAAGCTGTAATACCATGCATGTTTTGAGGTTCATCTCTTCTGCATTTGAATTCAGACTACATTGCTTCTTAATAAAAGCAATAGATAGTAGGGAAGTTTCATGGGGAAACTGCACAGAATCTAGTGCATATCATCATTGAGAAATCTTTTACTCTAGTTTAAGAAACGTTTTCCTAAGTCCACTACATGGGGTTTGCTATAGAGTAATTCCTCCTAGCTTGCTTCTCTGGAGCAAGACTCCAGGTTAACTATATGCTTTTATTCTCTTCTTTTTTAGCTATTTTGTTCATCTTAACTTTTATCTTTATGTAACTTTGCTGTCTTGTTAATAGTATCATCCCTTCTATGCTACTTTCTAGCTTTTTGGTTGATTGTTGTACCTTTGAGCTTAACTATTTCTTCCTAGTCTTATCAAATGATATTCTTTCCGTCTCTGAAGTTGTATATTTTCAAAGTTTCCTCTGTACTTGGTTTAGCATTACTCACCGGGTGACAAAATAAACCTTAGGGGCTGCTTACCAAGTTTTTTATTAAGTCCTGTGTGGATAAATTTGTCTGTCTGGATAAATGGGTGTTGTTGTTTACTTTTTTTATATGAACCAATAGTCTGAATAACATAGATGACCGATTTATCCCCCAATATTAATTATTTGAACATCAAAACAAAAAATCATAAAGAGGTTGATGATGAGGTGTCTCATTTGGGAAGGAGGCGATGCTTTAAATAAGGGGTAGGGGTGTCATTTTTGTGGCTGAATGGGGATAACACACCATTTCTATCTGTGCGATTAAGCCATGTTTTATGCGAATAAGCCGTAAGTAAACAACCCAAATGAGCTGTGCGAATAAGCGGGATATACCAGTAAGCCTAATTAAGCCGCAAGTAAACATCCCCTTAATCTTGTGATTAAGTAGATAGCTTAATTTATCTGCCAAAAGAAAAGTTGTAAAGTGATATGCATCCCTACCTATTACTGCTCCTTTGAGCAGTAACGAGGGATTTGCTAGAATCCCTTACTTTTGTACTGTTGGTGTTTTCTTATCTATCCTCTTCACCCTTTTTGCTCTTTATCTCACAAATCACTGAAACTGTTGTAAAATTCTGGATATCTTATCTCTTCTTGGTGTTTGAATGTTCTCTCTTCACTTTAAAACACTGTCTCAGTATCTTATGAGATAGTAGTTCTTCCAGCCAGTGGTCTAGCATTTCCAAGACACTTGGCAGCCTCGAGGGAAGAAGCATAATATCTACTCCCTCCGTCTAAAGATAAATACCCCTTTACTCAAAATTGAAACATAAGAATCTATTATCTTCGTGGGATGTAAACCATCACATATATTATCAATATATTACTAATTAGAATTAAAATACATTTTTGTCATTGATCATATAAAAGCATTATCATTTGATGAAAAACTCACCTCATGCCACATTGACTTATARCATTGGATATGATTGTTAGAAGAAATTTAACAAAACGAAGTGTGTTGTAGATTTACTATTAGATGGTGAAAAAATCACTGGAGGATGTAAACATTGATTGAAAAGGTGAAAACCCCAAAAGGTTCAACTAATTTGTRGGGAGTATGAAAGAATAACATGCTATATGGATACAAAGATGACCGATGAAAGAAGGAATTTGCCTCATTGTGTTTGAAATAGTGGTCGATTCTTTAAGTGCCAGTTGATTGGTTGTGGTTGTTCATATATCTCTTGTAGAGGGCCTTAGCTTCAGAAAAATGCATGTGAGCATGGTAGCTGTATATTTCATTCAGAAAGTCTCCATTGTTTAGCTAGCTCCTAGAGCACATGCTAATTCCTGTCTTAAATACCTACTTCACCATCATATATTGATCGGAGGTGAGCTATTACCATACCATGTGCAAGTGGAGTACATGCTTTTTCCCCTTGCCCAAGGGTCATAGTGAATTTCTGAAATTCCTTTTCCACTGTAATTTCAACTTCTGTAAAATTGGAACTGCATTGAGGCAATTGTTTTGCGTTGCACATGAACCACCCTTGTGCTGTGCCTGTACAAGGTTTATCGTGTTGTAGTACTTACGCCGATGGTTATGCTGCAGGTTTTGGACAAGGATTTGGCTATCTTTGGATTCTTCATCGCATTGGGAAGGAGCACTCAGAGATTCCTATGTGCAAATAACTTTGAGGGAGTTCCTGAACCCTTTGAAGGATTGATCAGGTAAGTTTATCAAATGACAATTATTTCTTCTCAGGGTTTCTCTCAACAATTATGCATTGGATATGAATCTGATTATCTTCTCTTCATGGCAGGTATCTTATTGGTGGCAGTGTGTTGCACTATCCTCAGCTTTCATCAATAAGTTCTTTTCAACTGTATGTAGAGGTTAGCATATTTGAAACTATCTATTAGATACAAAATATACATAGTTTATCTGATGTAGGTTCTTTTATTATAGGTTGTTTGTGAGGAACTGGACTGGCTTCCATTTTATCCAGGTGTTGAGAATTTGAAGCTCTCACATGGTCATGGAAGTAAACAAGGTCCTCCAAACGAGGAAGCTATCTCCTTTGCTTTAAATGTTTGTTCCCACTGGATTCGAAGTTTTATCAAATACAGCAAATGGGTGGAGAACCCTTCTAATGTTAAGTCTGCAAGATTCCTTTCTAGAGGGTATACCATCTGTCATACCATTAATATTTCATATGAAAGTTGGCTTCTAATTAGGTGTTCTAAGACATGCTTTAATTTTCAGGCACAACATATTGACGAGGTCTATGGAAGAATTGGGCTTACCCAAGTAAGTTAAATGAGGCCAAGTATCCCCCCCCCCCCCTCTCTCTTAGATCTGTAATCACTAAACTAAATTGTGTTAGTTAGATTAATCACGGTTGGCTAAATCAGTTGGTTAACAACAGTGAGTAAGTAAAGTGTTAGCCAGCAAATAGTTTTCTTTTCCTATAAACATAATAGTTAGTCTTTGATTCAAGTCAAGCAATACAAAGATCTCATCTCTGATCTCTCTGTTCTTCAACTTATATACCGCAAGGAGTAGAGTGACTGTAAATTTTAATTACAAATAGGAATTAAACATGATGGCCGAAGTATAAAGTTCCCAAGTGTTTAAAATCTACCTTTAAGAAAATTTAGGAGTTCAAAGATTTTGGTTGTTTTCCTACTACTACTGACTACACTGCAGAACTGCACCTGCCCATGGAGGGTGATTTGTAAGTTCTAAAGGTTCATGATTTATGGGTTAAAGAAATGTTGATGCAGGAAGCTGATGATTGAAAATAGTGCTACAAATATGCTTGAGATAGCTGGTTCTAGAAGTTATGCTCCATCAAGAGAAGATCTGGATTCTTTTGATAAGGTATCTCCATCTTCTCTAAAAAGAGGTAAAGTGTGAAGTATTATATTCATCTGCTTTGTCATGATTATATCCATGTGCTTAGCATGTAATTCAAATTGTTTGGTCAATCCTTGAACTGCTTAGATGGATATTGTCATATTGATTCCTATTTTCTTTTCAAGATTTCTTTTTGCACAACGCTTAGACAAACAATCATTGAATTATTAAGGCAACTTTTGATCTCTTCTAGGTGGAAATGTTTATGTATATGATAATGATGGCATTTTGGCTAAAATCTTTTAGGCACTTGAGAGTGTTGATGAAGCTCTTTTAAGGCTGGAGGAATTACTTCAAGAACGGCATGTATCAAGCTCCGATCCTGGGAAGGAACATCTAAAAGCTGCTTGTTCTGATCTTGAGAAGATAAGAAAACTTAAGAAAGAGGCTGAATTTCTTGAGGCATCTTTTAGAGTAAAGGCAGATTCTCTTCAGCAGGTATGCATTTGAGCAATTACAGATATACATCATGATAATGTTGTCTTGTTATGGAAAACATGTATTGTGAGATTCTATAATATGGCGTTCACAGATTTACAGCTTCTTGATAAGGATTTTTGGACAAATTTGCTTGACTAGGATGGATATATGATTGTTCATTCTGCAACTATGTATCAGCAACACACAATTACTTTTGGTAGAATTGATTGCTCAAACTACCACCTTCGTAGGGGCCTCTATGGTTTTTGACTTTTTTCCTTTCAGAGGTATTGAGAACACAACTGGTTTATGTTAATAATGACTTTAAGCAAGAAAAGCAGACATAGTACATGCAGCTACTCGTATGTCAAGAGGTGTCAAAACAACCCATTTAATATAAGTTTGACCATTTGAGCCACTAATTTTGAAAGATGAATTGTTATGGACTTAGCTATATTAATCGTGGGTCAAATTGATCATAAAAAGGATAACACACCAACAAACATGGATTACAGTAAAACTGCTAGTAGTAGCACTGAGTACCAATCGGCCTTACAATTATTTTAACTCATCTAAATTGTGAGAACATGGAAACTAAACCATTTATGTCAATTTTGAACTGATAAGCACATCAAAATATAAAAGCTGGATTAGATTACCAACATAATTTGATACATGGAAACTAAACCATTTATGTCAATTTTGAACTAACAAGTACTAAGTTTACATTTTTTGGCCGAGTGTGGTTCTTCCCCTGGTGGTAAGCCAGTGATCTAGCTGGGTATTTTTCTCAGGTAGTCGAGTGTGCTGCCAGAGGCTGACTCTGAGCATGTAGCTCTATGCATGGAGGAGATAGCCCCCATCATTTAATGAATAAGTAACGAGCAATGTAGGTATTCAGAAACAAAAATGTTGATAACCTACTTACGGAAGGGATATCTGATTAGAAGTAAACAGTACTTTAGTCTTTTTCTTTGCTCCCAACATACTTCACCTGCCTAAATGTAAAAAGCTCTATTATCTTCCCTATCACTAGGAAGTTCCTATAAAGTAGTATGCCACCTTTTTATGCATTCTTATAATGTAGGGAAGCCCTTTTGCCTGTAAAATCCTTGCATTTATGATGTTTGCTTTCTTGAAAGTGCAATCATGCAACACCACAATCTGAATGTATTGTATAATCCTTACAATCTTATGTGGATTTAGGGAAATGATGCTGGTCGTCCCGAGTCTTCTGTTAGCAACAAGAGGCAATCAAATATAGAGATGGACGGGTCCAGCAGGTATAATCCTTTACCAAACAACTTTGAGCACTTTGGCATAATATTAGTATTTGATACTTTTGTTTTTATGCATTCCCCCCGTGATTTTTATTTTCTTTATTTTTCTCTTTTCTATGTCATCAGAAAACCTGGTGGCTTATGGAGCTTTTTGATACGCCGTCCAAGCCCAAGCCCAACCCCAAACCTCCAGTCAGCAACTGTCTATAGAAGCGTACGTCACAAATTGCTTTTTAACGATGTATGCTTTGATCTAGTTACACATATGGACATTGGGCAGCACCTTCAGCTTTTATGATGATCTTCACACTTCAGATATTGCCAAGAAGAATGATTCATAGGTCTTGTTATAATACTGTGGATGGAATAATGGAAAGGATGGTCCAATTACAGAACCAATGATAAAATCCCTATTAGTCAATGCCACCTTATTATTGCACATGTGAAAAGGTTATGTTATCGACTGTTCAAGCCACGATGGAGGGACTCCCTCCTATGAAATATGATAATAGTGATAGTAAAGGAGTGGGATAGAAGAGCAAGATACCGGATCAATATACTTGAGTAAGTCAACGCCCTGTAGGCTGATAAGAAGACATAATTTATAGAAAGAATTATTTGAGGAAACATGCCCTCTTATAAGTAAAAGAAGTTCTGTTACGTGCTGAATCATTATGAAAGTTCATTGGTTTAAAAGCAACTTCTGAAAATGTTGCAATTTCTTCCACTGGAACGAGTATCCTTATATATTTGAAGTTCACGGATCTTGTTTGTTGTATTACATAGTACACATTAACATAAACAACTTCTGTTGACTGTACATTACCCCATACTTTGTTGTTTAACCAAAAATGTGAATGTCGTAAACCTCTATTAAATCTGTTTGTTGTCATGTTTGGCTTTGGTTTAGTTGTAAGTTTGTATCAGCCTGAATATGTTGTGTTTTATAAATATTTCATGTCTCTTTGATATGAAAGTTGATGAGATTCGCTTTCGTGCAGGACAATACTCATGTACCTGAAGCAAATGAAATCCAGCGATTTGAACTATTAAGAAATGAGCTGAAAGAACTTGAAAGGCGAGTTGAAAGAAGTGCTAAACGTTCCAACAATGAAGAGGTTCTTCTCTTTTCATCTTTTGTGATCTGAAATCAATGGAGTAATTACATTTTTCTTTATCATGTTGTAGGGCATGTCCTCCCCACCCTCCCAAATCATAAATCCTTGCATATTCTGCTGTGATTAAGTTTTCTATATAATAAGAGAGGATTTAGGGTAGCACGGCAAAGCCAAATAATTATATCATATGTAGAACCCTAAGATGAATAAATCATAGTTCTTGAATTATCTTCATCTGTAGTTCTTTAGCTGTTAGGCATTAGGTTCATCTAGGACTAAGATTGAGAGGTCCTATTTTTTCTTGGTGTGAAAATTGGAATCCTAGTCTGATTTCAAGAATTCTCCCAACTTTCTCAGCAAATCATCCTCCTCTAGTGATATAACTTGAACAGAAGATGAGCAATCTGATTGATCCCATCCCCTAAAGAGATCAAGAAGATTAATCCGTTCTATTCAAATTAAATGGTCAGTATAATTATTAGAGGGAGGTTCATTTAGGAACCCAGGAACCACCCCTTTTTGTGAGTATGCGTGATCAATAACGTTATAAAATATTCGTGATCAATATCGTGGCAGATATTCATAATGAATAAATACTCACAAAATATGTGATTCTTGGGTTCCTAAAATATTTAAAGTTCATAAATGAATCTGCCCCCAGTATATTATATTACGGAAGTTAATGGCCTCCTGCATTCATTAGATAATCAAATACTTTATGTAATTATTTATTCCATACTCAGTTCGTTATGCAGAACTGTGCATATACAAATTGGTGGTTGTTTTGCGATATTAAAGTTGATTCTGTTCTTCGTGTATTCAGGAGGAGATTAATATGGCAGGTGACCTGGTTATGTACTCTGATAAGGCCGAAGGGATTCAAGTAATTAAGGCGCAGGAGAAAGAGAATACTATCGGAAAGTATTTGAATAAGTTGAAAGAAACTACCACGGTAAATGTTTCTCTTCCATTTCCATGAACTGCATTCTGTAGTGTGATTTGTTTGATAGTTGGTATCAAAAACTAGGCCCCCAATTTGCAGCAAGTGTTGCTTCCCCTTTTAAGCTGATTAAGTGCCATACCTCGTCTACCTAAGCAGTCGTTCACCAAAAGCTTATCTGGTAAGCGCCTTACCAGCAAGAGACATCACCCTCAATTACCTTATCGTGTAACATTCTCGATCATCAAAATGGATTGTTGGTAAGCGTCTTAAATCCGGTAAGCGCTTACCTACTCGGTTAGATTCTATGTCCTTGTTATGTTCAACCAATAAGATAATTGAACCAATAAGCGTTTACCAAGGTAAGTGTTTAGTAAACGGCCCCTAAGTTGGTTACTTGATTTTCCGTTCTAAATGGACCTCTTTTAGATGATGAAACTTTTCCAATGTTATGATAACGATAATGATTGTCTAGTCAAAAAGGTTAAGCTTTTTTTGGGAAGAAATTAGTAGCCTGGAGCACTGCTGTTTGCACAGGTGACACTTGATTTCGGACAGAGGAAGTATGTAGAATGTCATTCGGGAAAAATGGACATAAATCCTAATCTAGTTTTGAGTTGGTCATCGGATGCTTTCAACTATCAGTTTTACCATTTAAACACAGTGATATCCATGCCTGCAAGTTATTACATGAGATACTGAGTTTTTATACCATTTTTTAAGTATATAACATTTATATACTTCAAATACTCATGCACACTCCTCATCTTGGTGATGTTTGAACCATTGACATCCTGGGAGACTCATCTCTACCGGTAATCCGGATATCGCTGGGGCAACGACCCTTTTGGTAACTAACAATATGTTGCCAACTAATGATTTCTTTATTCCTTATAAGCAGGATGTCTTACAAGGTACTCAACTTCTAGCAATAGATGCTGCAGCCGCCACGGGATTGCTTATAAGGGTCCTTACAGGGGATGGATTGATGGAAAAAGAAAAGCAAGCTCTTCGAAGAACTTTAACTGACTTGGCATCGGTCATTCCGATTGGCTTTCTCATGCTTCTACCTGTGAGTTCCAATGTATTTTACTGTAATTACTCAATTTGGAGTCCATACAGCTACTTCAGGTTCAGTTTATTCTGTCGCTCCCATATACGTAGTGCAAGAAGAAACGAGGAGTGATATAGATCCCATTTACTTGATAAGGTGGTAGCCACAAAACAGAAAAACAGACAACGTAGGAAAGTGGTACCCTCACCGTCCCAAAAAAGATGCAACAATGCACTTTCGGGTAGGAAAGCGGACCCATTGAATCCCATCTAGAGGTAGGGTTTGGGGGTGAGATATACTCAAAGTTTACCATGTTTTCGTAAAGAGCCCTGACTTGCAAAACAAATAATAAATAGAAGAACAAGTGAGTAAGCTACGGATGAAAGTGTGTGCAGACAAGTCGAATATTGCACGTGTTTTGAGACAGACACAGAGAAAATGAAGATTTTGCTCAAATAGACTCTCTATATTGTTCTGTAAAATAGAGAAAACTTCAAGTCTAGAGAATTCTCTAAAACTTGACGTGAGGAGGGAAAAATGATTTTTTTTGTTCTTTCCTACCAATGAGGTTGAATTATTATTGTTTTATAAAGTTTTTTAAAGTGTACCGGAAAGATAAAATTATAGAATATTTTAGTAATATAGTTAATGTTAAAATCTCTAAATTAGAGAATCTGTTGGAATTGTTCTTTTTAGAGATTTTGACCTTTTATTTTTTATTTCAAAAAAAATTATAGATAATTTATTATCAGAGGAAGTTGTTGGCCTGCAATTTTTTTTCACATACTCTAATCTTAAATTGCCACCGGAGCATTCTGTAGGTTACTGCAGTTGGGCATGCAGCAATGTTGGCCGCTATTAAAAAATATATACCATCCCTGGTGTGTATATTCTCCTCAAATCCCCAGGAAATTGATCAAAATAGCCAATCTTCTCAATAAATTTATCTTTTAGCCACGTAAATGTTATATGTGTTTACGTAAAGCCTATTTTCAGATTGGAAAAAAATCTTTATGCAGATTTGGATAAGAATCCACATTTGCACAAGGATTCAAATTTGCTTTTTTTAAATTAATCTGGAAATAGGCTTTATGCAAATGCGTGACTTATTCCAAAAATGGCTAAAAAGTGAATTTGGTTGAAGAGATCGGCTATTTTGGTCAATTTCCCCAAATCCCTTGTTTCTTGAATTAAATGCAATTTTTTTTCTTACAGATTCACTTGTTTTATGTAGATACCGTCCACATATGGCCCAGAGCGGTTGGCTCTTCTAAGGCAACTTAAGAAGGTCAAGGAAATGGGCACCACGGAGGTGAATGCCACAGCGAATGCTGATGAATCGTAGCCTGGATGCATGTCATCAAAAAAGAATCGTCTAACCATCACGTCAACAAGACGGCTTTGTGAGGTATCCTCATTTTTCATGTTGACCTGGTTATGAATCCGTTGAACATAAAGCTGAGCATAGAGAAGTTCATTCGAGTGTCGGGTAAGCACCAATGGCTATAGACCTACGACAGTCTTGCAGCTGGTGTACCTGACTCATGGTCCCTCGAAGAGTGACCGTTTTATCCTCATTGTTTTCAGATACGAGATGTTTAAGACTTTAACTGTACAGTTTGTCATTTCCATCTTTTTTACAATGTCATGAAGAAACCGATTGTTGAGTGGTACGGTTTCCTGATTCATTTCTGTTACCTTACTGCTATCAGAATGCTCGGACGATATTCCAACCTCCACCACTGCAGATAGCTTGTTTTCTTAATGCCTAAAAGCTTTGATCTTCTTTGTGCCATATATAATATTTATACATGCCGTAATTATGCTTTGTGGGGGTTGTATTATGCTTTGAAGTGTTATACATGCCGTAATTACCTAATATTTTTACAGGTAATTTGTCTTTGGTCCATGGTGAAGGATCATGTGAGAAGAAAAGTTATGGTGAGAAGCGTAAGAAGATATCTGAACCCTTGATCACTTTTAATATCGTGCGCATCCATGAATTGCGCTTTAAAAAGGAAATTGATCTGGTGCATCTCATTAGTGTTGACTTTCAATTAGAATTGATCAAGGGTGGAAATATCTTCTTATGCTTCTCACTATAAATTCTCTTCTCACCGGAGCGCAACCTACGGTCCATCAGAATCCAATGCTGAGCACAGACGCATCTGCTGCACCTGAAAATTTGGAAGATAACCGATGTTGTTTGTTGATTACCCTTATCACACTTTAGGGGGTCGATCAGATGAATGGCATGTGATGGTAAGGTTGTAACTGGACGGAAATTATTGAAGTTTTTGACTCCTTCCGGTATTGTCGGTATATTCATTGATTAGATAGGTCGAGACTCCATACGAAAGCATGCATAGATGGGAGACCGCCTCTTGTCAAAAGTTTTTGACTCTTTTTTTGCAGTAAGACCAAATCTGTTTCCAGCAAATGCAGTAGTCGTATTTTGTTGGAGTTAAGGATACGAGGCTTACACATGCTGCCTACCTGAAGGTAATTTGAGATTGTCATGGCCTATTCTCCTCTAACCTATCTTCAATAAAAGATAGGAAAGTTATCTCCAACCAAATTCACTTTTTAGCTCCCTTTTTATTCAAATTTCCAAATTTCCATTTTAGTTGAACTTTGTGCAAATGCCTTGCATATTTAACATTTGCGTAAACTCAGTTTTCAGTTTACTTAAATTAGCGTTAAGAACCCCATTTTGTGTACAATTGTTTTCCCTTTTTTTTAAATCTGCAAATAGGTTTTACAACAATGCACAAGACATACACAAACTCTGGCAAAATGGAAATTTGGTTTCGAAAGTGGTTAAAAAGTAAATTTGGTTTTAAAAGTGGCTAAAAAGGGAATTTGGTTATGAAGTGACTATTTTAAATGATTTCTCAAAAAAAATATCTCATGCTAAAAATCATTCAAATATCGTTGTTTCAATAATTTCTGTATTACGAGATCTAAAAAACGTTGGTTGACATTTTTTTACTTGTTTTAACACGTTAGTATTATTTCCCTCGCTTGACCATCCTATCTGCGAAGTGTAATGGGTCTTTTTCACTTTTATAGAATAAATTACAAATTTAGTCCATGTGGTTTGCAACTTTTACCGATTTAGTCCCCAAAAAAAAACACAAGAGTGAGACTTATTGTTTACTTTTTTCACACCCTATGTCGCTCCCTCTGATAGAATCAACAAGATCCCATTAATCCAATTAAATGGAAGAGCATTATTTTTGTCTTTATCCTATTAAAAAATAGGAAAAAATATTACTCCTTTATTTTGTGTTGTGTGTGAAAAAGCCCAGGATTGCTTATAGAAAGTAAAAATAGAAGCAGCTCAGTTTCGCTTTTAGTATGCCTCGAGTGGCTTTAAGAAGGTGTTATGTTGGACGCATTAAACGCTAAATTCATCGAAGTCCTGGTAGTTACACGTGAAAGCTTTCATTCAGACTCATCACTCTTTTAGTTTGGAGGAGTTGCATGGACTTGTTTTTCTTTCCCATATCTTCCCACCTCCGGTCACATGAGCTTTCCCCACCACCAACCTGGCCTCCTCCCATGCCACCAACACCTTTCCCCTTTTACGAGCCTCTCCCCCTTTTCTCATTTCCCCCACAACCATCACCAATTCACCACTACAACACCCACCAATCTTCCCCTCTCCTCTCCGTCAATTGTTGTCTTCTTTAAATCGAAACAGATTAAGTTCATGACCCATCCTCCCACTTTCTTTTTGATCTCCTCCCATATCTCCTGTCTCACAGAGAGATGAGAAAGTCTAGATCTTGTATTTGTTTTTGACTTACCCCGACAATCAACTTGGGGTTTTGATCCAGGTTTACAAGTGTGAACAATGGCAAAATAATAACTGCATATGGAAGGGGGTAGATTGTAGTCGCCGGCGTGAACAAGGTGAGGAATGCCAGAGATCATGACCGGTGTCAATGGGGTATTAGAGACAGTGACCGACACCAGTGAGGAAATGGTGCGAGAGATCGTCACTGGGAAGATAAATGATATGGTTCCTCCCAAAACTTTCCTTCAAAATATAGACAATCTTCCAATGAATTATAGAGACTAAGGTCTCATTTGGTTTGAAGGAACGGAATGGATTTCGAGGGATTTGCATTTCAAATACATTCCAATCCCATGTTTGGTTTGTCGGATTGTCCGGATTTGAAATCTTAAGATTTAATTGAAATCCTTCAAACATAGGATTTTGAAATCCTTAGGGAGTGCTCGGGATTTTACGAGATTCCGTAGAATTGTATGCAATAAGGTTTTAAAAAATGTTTAAAACATTTGTTTTGTAATAATTTATTAATAAAAATGTAATTCAATTATTTTTATAATTATTTATAATTTTTTCTATAAATTGTTTACAAATAATGAAATCCAATTCCATTCCAAATCCTACACACCAATAAATTCAAATTCATTCCAATCCAAATCCCTCAAAAACAATCTTACAAATCAAACAGACCCTAAGGATCTACCTGTTAGCAGCTTAATGAACTTAATGAGACTTGCAACTTATTCGGCCAACCATACATGTTTGGTAGTGGCTTAATAATATAGAAAGTGGCTTATTCAATAAGTTTCTAAGGGGGGTTATGCAGAAAGCCAAGTTTTTTTCAAATATGCCCCTCCCAATTAAAAACACGCTCCTTCCATCTATGAAAAAAACCTTCCAAATCTACATAGACAGCTTTATCCATACAGGACTTGATGGAAAACCAACCAAATAGCCCTACAAGATGCTAGAAATGACCATTACCTTGTCTGTATCTATAGATTTTCGAGCTCAGGACTGGCCTTTCTATTAACAGGATGGATCAAGCCAACCAACTTCCACTTGCAACTTATGTTTATGATCATTTTCTCTACTCATTACCCATTGTTCCTAATGGCAACGGACAAAACCTTGTTCCGGAAGAGTTATTCAGAGCATGGAACACTAGACGTAAGTTCAACAAGTCGTGTGACTCGACTCAAATAGCAGCTTAAGATCTCGAGCAAAAGTAATTTAGCGAACGTTACCTCAACTATAATCAAGAGTGTTAATGGAAGCTTGCCCTGTTCTTTTGGCTTCTTCAACACCAAGCATCTACTCAGCAAACAGATAATATAAGCCAACTGCATACACAAGTTTGTTAACATGCACATAAGGCCATTGTAAAGATTTCTTTAAATTTTCAGGGTTGGCCCCGGTTCATAAGGGTGTGTTTATTACGTGGAATAAAAGTTAGGAGTATGTGTGAGTTTTGCAGTATATAAACAATAAAGTAAATTACACTGATGGTCCTTGTGGTTTGCTCATATTTTGGATTTGGTCCCTAAAACAAACTATCTATACTAATGGTCCCTAACTTTTCAATTTCACAACACTCAAGGTCCCTGGAGTTAACACCGTCAATTAGCAACCACTAGGAGGAACAAATCAGTCTTTGGGCAAACTACAGGGACCAAAAGTGTAATTAACTCTAAAATTAATTGTGATTCACATTAATAGGTTAGGACCGACTGGGCCCGCACATGATGAGCTGTACATGGAACAAAGGTGAAGAGTGTGTGTGAGTTTTGCAGTATATAAATGATATATACATGGGAAAAAGGTTTTTAGAAAACTTTCATATGCTATTTATACCAAATTAAACCAATGTACATATCTTGAATCTCACTAGCTGCAGCAGAATCTGGTAAAACCTACAATGAATACCATCATATTTGCTCAAAAGCTGGCACTTTCAAATTCTGTCACTATTTTATGCGAAAATCTGCCATGGAGAAATAAAATAAGAAGACCGGAAGAAATAGGATTACCTCCACGGTCAAAAGCTGTAGAAATGCTTCTGTAGGTTGGTCAATCTCGATTGAGCTATTACTAAAAACGAATGAATGAATTCAGTTTTCTAACAAGTCTGTCTATGAACGGTCATCTTGATGAAGATTAATTGTGTGGATGAGATGAGACCTGGCACGATTTATTGCAGCGAAGCTGAGACACAAGTGTTCTTCAAGATCAGTAAGCTGCTTTTGGAAATATAAATTGTTCCTTCGCAGCTGCCGTGACACCTCCAGAATCGAATGCTTGTCGTTGCCCCTCCATAAACCACTGTGAATGAACCGTTTGTTACCCTCGATCTCGGAATACAAATGATTCACAAGACGTTCGATGGTAATTATATCTTCATGGAGGACATAACTCCCCTTTTGTGCAGCCTCTAACTGTGCCTGAAGAGTACGCTCTTTTTTCTCCATTTTGGAAGGGATAAATGCTGGGAAAAACATGGTTGCAGCAAGAGCAATAAGTGCATGACTAGCGATGACCACTCCAGCTATGACTGCACCAACAGTTGTACCAATTAAGCAAATGGCAGAACCGATGGTGACCCGTCGAAGCCAACGAATACGGGAGTACGACTTGTTGATTCTGCTCTCAAGCTGATCCTTGAGGTCGGAGAAGCAGTGGCGCATGCCGCGCACATTGCGGGACCCGGGGTCGGGAAAGGGGTTTTCGAGTTGTTCATATTTAAGGAGAAGATCGAAGGCTCGGTTACGTTGGGGTGAGGAGAGGGCGTCGGTTTCAGAGTTGAGAGGAAGAACGAGGAGGAGGTCTTGTAAAGGGGAGATCAGGGTGCGGACCCGTCTGATGGCTTGAGTTAGATCGAGGCACATGCGAGCCTTGTTCTCACTATGGTCAAAGAATGACCAGAGAAGATTGGTCACAAAACTGGGCTTGGCACGTTGAAGAACTTCTTCAACAAACTCCCGGTTTGGACGAAGAACCTGCGCCAAGAGTTGGTCCTGCGTAATCTCATCTGATCGTTCGGTTTCTATGTCAAGAAGAGTACGTATCTCGCTGTAGGAGCTGGTTTGCAATGCCAATGCATACTCGTTGGTTAGACTAACCGATGGAGAAGCTTGAGATCCCGATCTGGAAGTTATATCAGCTGAATTCCCTTCACTCATCGACAATCACGCAAACATTTTAGATTATGATTTTATCGTAAAGAGTGCCAGAAAAGTTTTAAGCATCAAAGAGGAAGTTTACCATTAAATGGTAGAGCATGAACGTTTTCGGCTGTCGCGGCCTGTGATGACCTTAGACAATGAAGCATGGTCAACCCTCGAGTCAAGATGGTGACACTCAGCAGTGATTATTGCTCGGGCTACTTAAAGGTTAAAGCAAGTATACACTCAGCTATCTGAAATGAGATTTCAAGTAGGAACATAAGCATAAAGCTTTGCAGACGGTTTTAGGTTCATCCAACACAATATTTGCAAGAGTTTTTCTTCAATACTTTCTGCAATATACAATACATAGAGGTAATACTGATGATATAAAGTATCTCCAATGCCACTGACTATATCAACGCTCACGGCCTTTAGCAGTCTCATATATCCTTAAGTTTAGATCTGTGGACATCCCCCAAACCCTACTTTCAAGTGGGATATATGGGTTGGTTTGATTTGGCTTTATTAATGCACAATAATATATATATATATATATATATATATCTGTGTGTGTGGGTGATTGTAGAGAGAGAGAAAGCGCTTCAAATACAAACCATGAAAATGTTACAAATCATACAAACCAATCTAGCCTAATGAATATTTGGTTTTATAAGTATCTTGATTATTTCCTAATCTAAAGCAATAATCATAATAAATGAACTCTACCATCTTCCATAAAATATCCTGATCATAATAAATGAACCATGATCATCTTCCATAAATATCTCGATTGTTTCCTAATACAAGGTTTGTATGGTTTGTATTTGATACACCCTATACATCTGATGTAATGAGCTTTACTATGAGCCTGCTGGGAAGCACCACAGGCACGCTAGTGGGCTGCAAACATCCATGGCAATATGGCACTGGAATTTCTGGAATACAGCCACAAAATCTTTTCATTTAGCATCTAATGTGTAAATCTAAAATCTCCCATGTGTTTCTTTTCGGTATAAAAAAGATGAATATTACTTCCATTATAGGCGGTAAAAGAAATAGAACAAGAAATAATATTGAACAACTCCATATTGACTAGTGGAGAAGTGTATACCAGAATAGCACATCAATTACCCCACGGTGACACATCATTTTCTGGAAAGATCAACATATACAGTGTCAATAGAACAGGGGGAGGATATGGACCTCCCTTAAGATCAGGTAAGTTTTGTAATCCGGTCAATGACATCCATGTATGCTTGCGGCAATTTGGTGGACAAATGTCTTACATAGACACTATTCTATCAACTCGAAAATGAATCTTCCCCTGGACAAATAGTAGACATCCCCTACCAGTCTCGAGCGTCTATGATAACCCCCTAGTTTCTTTCAATCGTAGAACTCTCGATGAGCTAAGCTTTGCTATGATAGTAGTTGCCTTATATAATGGAATCCCAAACTGAAATCCCACATCATTCAAGATGGTTTTAATTTCTATAAATCAAGTTTCTACAAATAAAAAAGACCAATGAAAATGGATTGTGACAATTACACCTAATAGGAGTTCTCCAAGAATCAAGACAAGTACCTCTCATTGAATGATCCCCGACAAAATAACAATTTACGTGCAAGCAAGGTTGAAATTCTCTACATCACATTGGCATCAGAACTCCATCTTTCATTGTTTACAACCATAAGTACTTAGAATACAGAAACGAATTCTACAATTAGAGCACAACATACCGTACTGCGCCTTTCTCGTATAAATCAATTGTTTCCTTCGCACGTTTCTCAAGTAATAATATTAAATTTTCGAAGTAATAGCATGATTTCAAGTGGATCACTCGTCACAATATATATGCACTGATTTATAACAGCAAGTAAAACCCTAACAATAACCCCCAAATTTGGTATTAGTATATAAGAACATCATCATTAGTCAAAGAACCGGTGAATATATCTACTGATTAATGGAAAACAACGAGTATGAGGAGGTATAAGAGTAGAAGCAAGTACCTTAAATGAAAAAATTGATAAGGAAAAAGTAAGTTAAAGTCAATCGTCTTGGAGAAGCTTCCGGAGACGTGCTCTGACGTAATCGGAACGAGCTTTGGCCCGAGCTTGTTGAGGAGCTATGTTAGCGAATGATAGATAAGCACCGGCGGTGAAGAGTGCCGCGCCGGTGACGAAGACGATGGCACTTCCGGCTAATTGCTTTGGCGTCGGTGGATACGACCAAAACACCATTTTTTAACCAGATCTCGCCGTGTCGTGCTACGAGAGTGTTTTGGCTTGTAAAAGGGTTTTTCTACACGTCTCAGGGTGTTTTGTGGTTCATTATCACTTGCTGAGATTTTATTTCATTATCAACCACCAAGTCAACTAAATGTTTGTAGATTGAAAACACTCAATCCAACTCAACTTATTGCTGTTTAAGATTACTTATAAAAACAATTTATTGATTTATTTCGGTGTGGTACTGGTAATAAGCACTTTTGAGTGTTTGGTAACCAACTTATACCGGTGCCAAACCGATAATAAAAAGTTTTTGAATAAGTAAAAACATTCTGACTTATAATAAGTTGATAAATACTTTTGTAGAAAAACATAAATGTGTCAAATAAGCAATCTCAAACACCCTCTTAATTCCCGTTAATTTAAGTCGTAAGAATTGATCAGATTGATATATTAGAATATTTTTCTAATATTGAATATGTTATTTTTTTCTTTGTTCATGATTTTATTTTCATCATCACTCATTTGATAAATGAAAATATTCTATTTTTAACATAGTTTGATGGTGTATTTGTCTGAAATATATATTAATAGAGACTTAACAATAATATTAGATCCAATAAATACAAAAAATATTGTGTTCATCGGGTTGGGAGTATACGATCATAACTCAATACCTACTGTTTGAAGATTTTTACAACTCGATTAGACATCGAGTTGCTTCGGGTTGGATTATTTCACTTTGGGTTGGCCAAATTGATCGGATTTTTGAGCACTCATACCTCTTGATTTATTATATAAAAAAAGATTTTATATTAATAAAAATATCATGTATTTAATTATAGCATCTTTAATAAATTTTTTAAAATAGAAAAATCAAAAGTCATAATTCCCAAAGAAAAAAAAAATTCATCTCCAATACTTCATCCATTTTGGAGATTATAATATCAATTATATTATAAAATATTATTTCTCTCTTACAGATAATTAAATTCAAGAATTCTCATTAGTATGATTTATAAAACATCATTTCTCTTTCCTAAGTAATCGTTTTTGGAAAGTTCTTCAAATTTAAAGAATTTCATCCCCTGTCACCTTTTTTTTTCTTCGTTTTATTGAAGGTTTTAAATAATTTTTTAGAGCAAAAATGTCCAAAATCTCTATTCAGATACCATCTAAAGATGTTCTTAAAATCTCGTGTAAAGTTGTATGATTAAAAATATCTTTATACGAGGAAAGGAAAAAAAACATACCAAAACTTTTTTTGTATAGGAGAATGGTAGAAAATTTATAGGGTATTTTACATTTGATGATATTTATTTAAGGGATTTTGTTTATAGGCAATTTGGTGAAGAAAAAACTACTCGGATAAAGGGCAGAATTAAGACAGATCAAACTAAAGATATTAAGCAGAAATTTCTCCACATCAGCAACAACTTAGGCATCTGAATCTTAAGCAGGAAACTACTGCATCTCAGATGATGTAGGTAAGACACATTTTAACCTAATTAACTGAAGCAGATGTAGGATTCGAAGTCTTCGACTCAGACGAACCGATAATCCCGTCTATCTTTAGTCACATCAAAAGGCTTATTTATACTTTTGAGCTGATGTTTTTAGTGTGTTATGATAAGATTTAAAAAATTAATTACAGTATTTTCTTAATCTCTTATAATTAAACTAACTAATACTATTATTGAGTATTTGGTCCTTACTTACATCACAATCTTTCATTTTTCAATATATGGCTCGATTACAGGCTTGGATTTAGCAATTTTCAACGCTTTGATGTCCAGGTTTCTCGCTAAGTTTTAGTTTTTATGTTTGGTCGATGATATCGTGTACATTTTAATTTTTATATTTACTGGGTTTCCATTTTCGAGTTACAGATGTCAGATGGTAATGCATATGCCTTTCGATTGCCTATTGCTTGAGACCTATCATTTTCCACCTATATGATACGACAAAATTGAAAGTATACATGAAAAAAGACTGATAATTTCAAAAAAAACGTACTTATTACCTCTCTAAACATTTCCTTAACGTGTGCCAACCCTTGGATGCCAAGCTTCGATCACTTCCCACAAATTCAACAATCTTTGGAATTACAACGTTCGTTATGTCTCGTATGTTGTGCCCAACAGTCGCCACCTATAATTCCCAAATCAAAATTGAATTATATATTAAATCAAGCCGTGTTTATTTATAATTACAACTAAATCAATAAGGAAAACGTGTAATCTCAAAAAAATTATATTAAAAGTCAACGAACTTTTTTCTTTTGAAAAATCTAACATATTATTAATTATCATTAAAAAATATTTAATATTCAACAAACTTTCAAATATGCTTTATGTACGATAATATTTTCCTGTAATCTCTTACTTACGTCTCTTCCAAAATTATTAATTAATTAATTAATACACGTTCTCTCTCGTCAAAAAATTAATTTCGGAGATTTTTTATCTCTTTACTGAATATGCCAATTTTATCCTTGCTCTTCTTTTCTCCATTTTCTGTAATATTTCAGGGATTATGTTGGGAAAAAAAAACTACAAAATCTCTGTTTTCTTTATTTTAGGATTTTCTGTTGGAGATGTTTTAACCACAAGGGTGGTGCATTGGTTTGAACTTGGCTCCAAAGGTCAAAAGTACCAGGAGGTCACAGGTTCAAATCCAATGAGGAATAAAAATCCCCTTGTGGCCACGGAGGTTTAAATGCGGTGACTCCAGGCTATCTACAAAGCAGGTGATCGCCCTGAGATTAGTCAACTCGCATAACGGGTTGGATATCCAAGTTAATCAAAAAAAAAAAGTAAAGAGATTAATTTACCCTTAAGTGAATCCATTTCATATGACCCGATCTGTTGGACGGAAATGATCACCATTGTGGAGTAGTGATGGCCAAAAGTGGTTCGCCCTGGCCCGGCCCAGGACCACAAGAGGACCGGAACCGGGACCGGTAAGGACCAGTTATGGGAGGGAACTTATCATTATTGTATTTCCATTTCCTTTCTCACCTAAAAAAATTTCAAGAAGGTTTTTTTTTTTTTTACTTTTCTCCCCACGGTTTTTTTTTTACTTTTCTCCCTTTCCCTCATTTTCCTTTCCTTTCCTTCGTAAAAAAGGTTTCGAGAACATAAATGTTGTTAGTATCATCAAAATCTTTTTATGTCGCAGCTTTTATTATCGATAATGTAGTAATAATGTGTGATTATGTTGTGATAATAATGTGATAAAGCTTTGACAAATTGAGGACTTCTTATTATGTGATTTTGTTGTGATAAAACGAAAATCGGTGATTATCATGTCCACAATCACCGGCTCATTCTGTTCATTATGTGATTTGCAGTTCTTTTATTGTTTTACCCCTACATATCCTCGATATTTCTAGAGAATGATAAATATTTATTTAATATTTTATTATACCCTCAATCTTTTTGAAATATAGCTTAAAATCAAATGATAAACTTATAACTGTTTTCGTATTTATATGATTACACATGTTTTTGTTTAAATCCTTCCCCTCAAAAGTTATTTTATTTATACTATATTATAAAACATTTGATAAAAACTCTTAAAAACCATTTTTTATGCATAAAGTACTGTTTGAATTCGTGTAACTAACTACGGATAAACATAATTAAATAGAGGATAAACATCTCATTTTAAAATATATAAAAAATCTAAAATACAATTAAGATAATTATCGAGTTTCTAACCGAATGTTTAATTATTATCTTTAATAAATATTATATTATTAAACTAAAAATAAATTATTTTGTTATTATACTTAAATTAAATTATAATAAAAAATTAAATTAAAAAAGTTACATAAAAAAACGAAAACTATTAAATAGTTAATTTAATACTAATATCGATTTTTTTATACTATCTTCAAATTTATAAAAATAAAAACATTATCGTTTTCTCAAAACCACATATAATTATATTACATTGATAGAGACAAATAATAAAAATTAAACATTAAAACGAAGATTTATCTTGCTGCATTGCGCGAATACCCTTCTAGTATATAATTAATGAATATTGACATGTATGCATACAACTGTTGAACAATACCAATATATATATATATATATATATATGTGTGTGTGTTTATTTTCGATAAATTAATAAGTAAATGCATTTTTTTTCGTATTATAATTTTTTTTAAATTTTAGCATTATAACAAATAGAAACAATTAGCTTTTTACTTCCAAAATTATAATATGTCGTTTATTTTTATGACTTTATTGTAAGGATGGTAATTTGATATATCTAATCAACATGTATATTAACTGTGTCAATAAAATTGGGACCATTTAATCGGTACCAATTGTATTTGATTGATAATACTGTATCAAGTATACAAATTTAATTGATACATAATATTGGAAGTCACGTACCATACCGACTTATTAAATTATTTTTAGTTTTTGAATGTTTTTTGTATTGAAAATTAGACTTTGCAACTTTAAATTTTTTGTATGAAATTTTAACCGTTTGCAAGTTTTATTCCTTAGAAGTAAAATGTAAGAATTTAGAAAATAATATAAAATATAAAACTTCCAAACTCCTTCCAATTTAAACAACTTTAATACAAAAACATATAAATTTTACATAAGAAGGAGGACCAGGTAATATCAGAGTTCTAAAAAGGACTATTTAATTCCCAAATATGATTGGAAACAGGTCGGGTGTTACTACAACATCAAATATGTTATCTTCAAAATCGGATGATGTCTCTAAAGACATCTTACCAAAACTTCTACAAAGCTCGAAAAGTTACCCAAATCCCTCTAAAACC